TGAACAATCCAACACTTGGTGAATTCTGCTTCACAATGATAGGAAGAGCCGACATCGAAGGATCAAAAAGCAACGTCGCTATGAACGCTTGGCTGCCACAAGCCAGTTATCCCTGTGGTAACTTTTCTGACACCTCTAGCTCCCTCTCTTTCTCCTCTCTTTCTCTGTTCTGCTTTTCCACCCTTTCTTCCTGCTTTCCTCCCTCCTATTCTTTCTATTGGTTCTTTTCAGGAAAAGGAGATCGTGGACGCGATCACAAATGTTGGGCTGTCTGGAATGGTGACTGAGAAGACTGGCGATGGAGTCGGAGGCACTGGTGATGCCACCGTGGGGGCCAGGCAGGAGTTGTCAATGGTGACAGGTCGGTTCCGCGTTGGGGGTCTCATGTGCGCTGCGTGTGTGAACGCTGTAGAGAACATCCTGAAGAAAATTCCTGGTGTGAAGGAGGTGAATGTTGCCTTAGCGATCGAGGAGGCGGAGGTCAAGTACGATCCGAACCTATGCAGTGGACAAGAACTTGCCACGGCGATCGAAGATGCAGGATTCGAAGGAGAGCTGCTTGGCACTTGTGAAAGAGATAAGCTTGTCGTCAATGTGGAGGGGATGGACTCTCTGTTGTCGGAGGCAGCGGTGGAGCGAGTGTTGAAGAGTCTGAAAGGGATATGGGATGTGCAAACGGACTCGATGAGGGAGAGGGTTGAGATCTTGTATGAGCCGGAGCTCGTTGGGCTGAGGACAATCGTGGAGGCAATTGAGAAGGAAGGGGGGGGGGGATTTCGATGCACGCTTCCGAATCCCTTTGCAAGGCATGCTCCTGATCGTAGCGCGGAAATCCAGAAAATCCGAATGCTGTTGATATGGGGTGCGCTGCTGACGGTGAGTGGCCGAAAGGAGGTGGTGAAGAAACAGTCAAAGTCAAACGGTCAAACGATCGATTTCCCGGGCAGTGGCAGTGCAAAAATCAGACAAATAAAATGAAATTTGAAAAATTCTGAAAAGAAAATGTTGCCTACAAGTGCAATGCAAAATCACAAACAAACTTTTGGCCGAGAGTCACCTCATAATTTTCTGTTGAAATAATGAAAAACAAAAATCAAACATTCAAAGTGAGGTGCACCGCTTGAAACTGTATTTATAAACCCTTTTTTCACAAAAAAACGATGCCCTCGTCATGACTGCACCGAGCCTGAAAGACAGCTTGTGTACATTTGGAGAGAGAGAGAGGGGGCCAAGGGCCACTTCAAGAATCGTGGAGGGTGCCACTTTTGTGTCCCAAAATCTTACATTTGTAACTGTTGATTTCATTTCTCCCAGAGCATCGTGCCCTCATCTGGACTGTACTGGGCCTGACAGATGCTACGGAAGAAATGCAATCAACGGCCCCTGTACGAATTGGACCTGATAGATGCTCTGGGAGAAACGAAATCATCCCCCTGTGTGTGTGTGTGTGTTTGTGTGTGTGTGTGTGTGTGTGTGTGTGTGAGAGAGAGAGAGAGAGAGAGGGTCCAGCTGCGGTGGCAGCACCCGTAGCATGTGAAGATACTTTGCACCTGGCCATACAAGTGACGTTTTCAAGTGACGTTTTCGGTCAGACGCAGTCAATTTGTTGCACTAAAGTGGGGGGATGTTGTATCGATTTTTCACACACACACATACACCTGCAAAAAAAAAAGAATGCGTGGACACTGGGATTTTTGTCACGGCACAGTGTGCATTGCGGCAAGTATTGTCCGCTGTCGATGAACAGATTAGGTGTTCAATTCCTGTTGGAATACTGCGAGGGACTACTGTAGTCCCTCCTTTCTTTCCATTTTTCCTTATGGTTCTGACTCCAATTTATTATGGGGAGCTGCAAGCGTCAATTATGTGTTTTTCAAACTCTATTTTAGTGTTTTCTCTTTCTGTTTACTTTTTCATTCCGTTAGCTTTTGTATAGCCCATGCTAGGGGTTGTAATCTTCAATTGCTGATGTTGCGCTGGTTGTTGTGCGGAGATGCATGGGTTTGTCTTCATGGATTTGGGAAATGAATGGGAAGCAAGAAGCAAACAGAACTTCAGAACATGGGTGTATCTCAGTTGGTACGCCCACGAACTGTTGAAATGCAGCCCCAGGTTCGAATCCAGATGCAATCAAAGAACAGCAGAACACACGAGTACACAGTACTCACAGAGCATGCACGCAAGTTTCAGCTGTCAAGGGCACCGAATTTTTTTGACATTCGGAGAGTCAAAGAAGATATTGCAAACTGACTCACAAAGGTGCGGGATTGCCGTTGTGGATTTGGGGAATAAATGGGGTTTATGAATGGAGGTCGCAGATTCCATCGTACTTTCTCAGTATGATGTGCATGCGTATGATGGGGCCGAGGTATATGCTGAAGGCACAAACGGGCCACTTTATCTCTGTGGACTTGATTCGGCTTGCGCTTATCACCCCCGTGCAGTTCATCGTTGGCAAAAGATTTTATGTCGGGGCTTATCGATCTCTCAAGCATCGGTCAGCTAACATGGACGTCCTGGTGTCGCTCGCGACGAATGCTGCATATTTCTATTCTCTCATCGCACTTATCTATGGCATTTTCAATCCGTCGTTTCATGGAACCACGTTCTTTGAGACAAGTGGAATGCTCATTACTTTCATCCTGTTTGGGAAATACCTGGAGGTAAGCATTTGATTAAACCAGAACGAGAACCATAACTATCTTTTCTTCCCCTTTTCTGTTTTTCTGTAGATGACGATATATTATGTATATATATTAAACAGATATATATTTCAATATTTTATAATTTTGTTAATTGGATCTCTTCTTGGTTTGTGCTTTTCACCAGACAGCAGAATTATTTCAACTCATACACTGGTCAACGCTTGTGTGAAAACCTCCAAAGAGTCCAAACCATGAAGAAGAAGCAGCACTTGCAAACTGAGCAGGTGCTATGTTAAGTTTCTCTGGCGGGCTCAAATTTTAATGGAAGTCACAAACGCGACTGTAACCATAAACCAGAACAAAGGTATTGTTCTTTCTTAATATGTCTTAAGCCACCACTGTACCTGGACCTGATTTGATCAACCCCTCTTTTCCCTAACCCTCAAGCTCCTGAGAGGTCAGGTGGGAGGGAGGGGGGGAGAGGGGGGAGGGGAGGCGGAGAGGGAGGAGGGAGGGAGGGGGGGGGGGGGGGGGGGGGGGGGGGGGGGGGGGGGGGGG